ACCAAAAAAACATTTTAAACAAAACAATTAAAAATAACTTAAACAATACAATATCCTATATATTTGTGGAGAAATTTAAAATTTAAAGCAAAAAAAAGTTAAATAAAAATTCAATTTTTAATGGAAAAAAACAAAAGAAAAAAGGTTTTTTAATTTATTTTTGGCCCAAATAAATTTTGTTTTGTACAAACAGTGCCTAAATAATATATTTTTTATTTAAAATATTTTATTTTATTTTATTTTTTTAAATAAAAGAGCTCAAAATCACCCTTTTTTGGGTTTTTTTCCCAAAAATACATGCTGCCAAACAGAGCCTTATGGCCTTGTTACATACCATTGCTGCCCGATTTAAAAAAGAAAAGAAGAATCCCCAAAACCAACGTCATTTTGTCAAAGAAAAAAAAAAAAAAAAACCAGCGATTAGGCTCGAGCTCGCAAGACCAAGTGGGCCCACCCAATTTGCGCTAGGCTGATGAAGCGCTTCTGGACCATTTAACTTGAGGAAAAATGCTTCCCCTAACCAGCTGCAGATGCTCTAAACGTGGAAATGCGTGATTGAAATTAAGAGTAAGATCAATCATGATTGAAAAACCAAATTGTGCCAAAAAATATTAGAGTTATATGCAATCTTTTTTATCCACCATCTACCATCAATTTATAATAGAAGATTATTCAATATATATATATATGTATATTTTAGTAGTCCCCATAAGAAACTTAATTATTAAAAACAACTAAATACCACAAATCAAAAGAATTCCAATATTTTAAACTTCTGGCCAAAGGCCCAATATCAATTTGGCCGCAGGAAAGCACCCTGCTGTAGAGACCATAATACATGTGCTGATGGGGTGGACTAGTTTTATATTCCTGAATTTTGTTTTGAATTTTTTTTTTTTTTAAGTTTAAATTAAAATCAGAAACAATAATTAAGAAAATTGAAGACACTCCATTGCTAATGTTGAATGGTCAATTTCAATCCGGTCATCCACTAATCCGTTTTAGCCCATGTTCCCAATATTATAGTTGGTCTAAAAAGCACAATTTTAATTAATTGGGCCGTATAAAACTAAATACTAGATTTTCGATCAAAAGTACTATGCGAAATCTTCGGTTTTTCCTCTTCCTCTATCCTTATCCCATTGGTATAGTGTTTGAATCAATAGAGAACCTTTTCTTCTGTATGAATCGATATTCTTTATTGCATTCCAATTCCTTCCCGCCACCTCCTAAGGAAAATCTCGAATTGGATCCCAAATTGACGGGTTAGGGTGAGCTTATCCATGCGGTTATGCACTAGGAATTCATTTTCTGAAAGATCCTGGCTTTCGTGCTTTGGTGGGTCTCCGAGATCCTTTCGATGACCTATGTTGTGTTGAAGGGATATCTATATAATTCGATCAATTGCGTAAAGCCCGCGGTAGCAAGGAAACTGGGGAAATTATACAGAAAAGACAGTTCTTTTCTATTATATTAGTATTAGTTAGTGATCCCGGCTTAGTGAGTTCTTTCTTCCATGATGAACTGTTGGCACCAGTCCTACATTTTGTCTATGCGGATCGAGGAGAAAGGGGGCTCGGCAGGAAGAGGATTGTACCATGAGAGAAGCAAGGATGTCAGCCTCTTTTGAATATACAACATGGATTCTGGCAATGCAATGTAGTTGGACTCTCATATCGATTCGAATGAATCATCCTTTCCACAGAGGTAAATTTTTGCCTACTAGGCAAGAGGATAGCAAGTTAAAAATTCTGTCTCAGTAGGACATGTATTTCTGTTACTATGAAATTCATAAATGAAGTAATTAATGTTGGGGTTACCATTATCCTTTTTGTAGTGACGAATCTTGTATGTGTTCCTAAGAAAAGGAATTTATTCATTTTTCGGGGTCTTAAAGGGGTGTGGAAACACATAAGAACGCTTGAATGGAAATGGAAAAGCGATGTAACTCCAGTTCCTTCAAAAACGGTAAGATCTTTGGCGCAAGAAAAATGGGTTGATCCGTATCATCTTGACTTGGCCGTATAAAACTAAATACTAGATTTTCATATATGAGTATGATATATGGACCCAATTCGGTAATTATTAAATTCAATTTATGTAAGAGAAGTGATGGATCACATCACATGACATCATGATAACATTATATAATGAGACCTACCATCACACTTACATAAATTAAATTGCGTAACTATAAAATTTGACCATTCATTCATTATTCTTCTTGTGTGTATGTATAATATAGAAGCCCTAAGCACAAATGCATTCCAAAAAATCTGATAGTTTTGGCGCACCGATTCAGCAGTTCATTATTATTATTTTTAAATTTCTTATAATATTTTGAACTCTATTTGAATTTGTATATTCATAGGTGTTTTTAAGCATTACTCTTATTTATATTTTTACTATAAATTTAAGCTTCATTAAGGTGAATTCAAGTCTTCAATTTGAGTGTAATTTGAAGGCTACCGTTGTATTTTTGTGGATGATATTTGAGTAATAGTTGTACCAAAGGGCATGTGCCACGAACAACCTTTTTTTTTAACAAGGAGATCAGGACCACTGGGTTAAATCTCATGTCTTAGCTAAAACAAGAAGAAAAAATATATATTTTTTGTTTTCATTAAGTTATGCCTTATTATCTTTTTAATAAAAATAATAATTTAATTAGCTAAAACGTTTAAAAACCCCGCCCCGCCCTCACAATCGTTTAAAAACCCCGCTCCTGTTTTCGTCCAAAACCGTAAAAACGGGGGAACTTTCCACCCCATTCCCTTAACGATTTAATATTTTTATCTCTGCGGGTACCCGCCGCGTCCTGTTTAAGACCATAATTTAATTATTGTTGAAATGGATTTGCTCTTCTTCTTCTTTTTTTTTCTCATCTTCAATTCTTCACCATTACAACTTTTCTTTTAATAAAATTCATTTGTTACTTTAATATTGTTATATGGAGTAATTAATATATAGTGGGAAATATATATATTAATGAAATAAGAGTATTTAAGTAATTTGCCTATTTAAACAGGGTGGGGCGGTGCGGGGCGACCTTCCCCCGCCCCCGCACCAAACCCACGTTGATTTTTATTGCATCAAACTATCTCTACCCAAATAAGCAAAATGGTTCCCCAGAATCGCCAAAAATGGAACAGGGTGGGGCGGGTAACCGCGAAAACGAGTCAAACTACCATCTCCTCGATATTATTTAAGACCTTAAGTGAGATTATATATATATTTGTTAAAAAATAAGTGTTTCATTTAAAAATAATAATAAATAAATAACGCTAACGGGGAAGATATATATTCCTTTTCATAAGACACTATAATTACAGAGAAAGTAGGGACGAACTTTGTGGTCCCTACAATGCATGTGAAAATTGCACAAGTAGATCCGGATGATTTAGATAATAAATTAGGAATTCAGTTTCTTTATATAATTTTTTTTTCTCCAATATTTTTTTTATGATTAGACTGTAGTTCACAATGGGAAAAATAATTCATCTTTCATCAAGTAATACTATTTAATTCTAAAAAAATTCAAAAACAGAAAACTAATTAGTTGACGTTAAGCATTCTAAATTAGTTAAGCATTCTAAATTAGACCCAGTGACACACAATTGGCACCACTGAAATTTTTTATTATTTAAATTTAATAATTTTAAAAGTGCTCCATTCAAATTTTCAAAAGGTTTTGAGAAAAATTCTCAAAATTCAAAAAAAAATCTCTCATATCTAACTTTATGCCCAACACGATTTTAAAAATTCACACAAAAAAAAAAAAAAAATGTCTTTTCTCTTTTGATGAATTCACAAAAAATTTAAAATCATTGATGAATTCACAAAAATTTTAAAATCAAAATTCAAATAAATTCCTTCTTTACTATTTATGTTTTAGAATTAATTTTTTTATAATATTATTGTTAAAGGTTATCTCTCTCTAAAGTAAATTTCTCACTGTTTTGAATTACAATTTTTTAAAAATAAAATAAAAATAAAAATAAACCCAACTATAAAGAACATATTGGAGAAAGAAAAGTTTACCATGGCTATATGAGGTGAGGTGGACGTTGAAATAATGATTATGATTGAATTGCTTTTCTTTTTACAAGTACATCCTTCATTAATAGGAATCAAACATAACAAGTAATTACAACACGACAAGGAATTGACCATTTTACATGACCTTGCATTGTGTAGAAGATAAGATTGGAAACACTTTATACTATTTCTCAGCACAGAAAATCAAACTAAGGTCATCATGGTGTTACAGTCGTCTCCAATCTCCACCCTATGGTGTCCAGGGATGAGCCGTTGGATTAAATGACTTATCTGACCCTGCAATTTAATACGCACAGGGTAGAAAACCAAGTGCTGAACCACCAAACTTGAATATCAAAAGGATTCATAATGGTTTACGGTGAGTCTAAATTAGCCAGCTGTCTCATTTATCTTTCAATTAATGGAATATACAGAGGATATGCTCACCCTGCACATACCTAATCATACTATAAATATCCTCCCCCTGTTCTATAAAAATGTTTCTTTTTTGTGGGAAAAATATATATCTAACTTTATCTTTATTGACAGAGACTTAAAATTTAATAATAATAATTTAACGGTAAATTTTAATTATTACTAAATGAAGAGTTTTCATTGGCTTGAACATTGGGATATAAAAACATTCCCACAGCTCCACAGACAGTGACCTTTGCTTTGATCTCATGGATATAAATTGGTGTGCTTTGATCTTATGGATATAAATTGGTGTGTTTTCTACACGCAGTTAAGTCAAATCATTTTTCACATTAACAAACATTGATATGCATTGAATGAAGCTAAAAGCCGCCTCGTGGTCTTCTTTTAGGTCATCAACTTTATTGAATGCAGATTTGGATAAGAACAAAAAAAAAAAAAAAATTGATCTGTCACTTGCATTGATTATGTCAAAACAAAAATTACAAATAAAAAGCAAACAAAACCCTAGATCTCCCTATATAAACCCATCCCACCACATCCCTAACATCATCAATCAAAACCACAACTACTTTGGAAATGAGGGGTTGGGCATTTACGCTTCTCTTTCTACTATCTTCATTTCTAGGGGCCTTAGCAGAGCAATGTGGTAGTCAAGCTGGGGGTGCTAAGTGCCCTGGGAACCTATGCTGTAGCAAATTCGGTTGGTGCGGCAACAAACCAGAATACTGCGGCGACGGTTGCCAAAGCCAATGTGGTGGTGGCCCTAGCCCTGGACCTAGTGGCGGAGACATTACCAATCTCATTACTAGATCAATGTTTGATCAAATTCTTAAGCACCGAAACGACGGGGCGTGTCCCGGCAAGGGTTTCTACAGCTACGATGCCTTCATTGCCGCTGCAAAGTCGTTTGGGGGCTTCGCAACCACCGGTGACAACACCTTGCGTAAGAGGGAGATTGCAGCTTTCTTGGGGCAAACCTCCCATGAAACTACAGGTTTGCTGACCAATTAATTCACTTTTACTGCATTTCATTACCATTTGTATTGTGATTAGATGGGAGTGAAGTGATTGTTGTGTGAATATAGGAGGGTGGCCAAGTGCACCTGATGGACCATATGCTTGGGGATACTGCTATTTGAGGGAACAAGGCAACCCAGGAGCTTACTGTGTTCCAAATGCTCAATATCCTTGTGCTCCTGGAAGGAAATATTTTGGTCGTGGTCCCATTCAAATTTCTTAGTAAGCACATGCCTCATTTTACACCATTTTAATTGAAATCACATCATCGTGAACCATCTAATACTTTTACAAAAATCATAAGCATTTATTGAAAGAGTTGTTTAATTGTTGGTTTGATTATGTCAATTTTAAGTGATTTATTTTGATATATATATTTCAGCAATTACAACTATGGGCAAGCTGGAAGAGCCATAGGGGTGGACCTCCTAAACAACCCTGATCTGGTGGCAACAGACCCAGTGATTTCATTCAAGACAGCAATCTGGTTCTGGATGACTCCGCAGTCACCCAAGCCTTCTTGCCACGACGTCATTACCAAAAGGTGGACGCCGTCAGGTGCTGATCAAGCAGCTGGCCGGAACCAGGGGTACGGTGCAATCACAAACATCATCAATGGTGGTCTTGAATGCGGCCATGGCCAAGATTCAAGGGTCCAGGATCGCATTGGTTTCTATAGGAGGTACTGTGACATACTTGGGGTTACCTATGGGTCAAATCTTGACTGTGCCAACCAAAGGCCTTTTGGGTCTGGACTCTTGGTGGACACCATGTAGTTCTCTTGTCCATAAAAATACCCGAGTTACTTCTTTCAGTACCGAGTGAAAAAGTAATAAAAGAGCTTGCTCCATATTTTCTTCTTGTAAAGGATTGTTATGTCTAATAAATTATGGCCTGTACTGCACTTCCTTATATATATATATAAATAAATACACTCCGTATATTGGTAAATTAAACAATTGTATAATAAATATGTAATAATTACATTGGGATTCAGCTAAGAGTAGCTAGGCCCAAACGGCCAGCAAAACAAAAGTACAAACATATGCATAGAGGCCCAACCATGTACTAACAAGCCCGGGCCTATACTCAAACAGAACAGAAAATCAAAAAATCAATTATAGCCGTTGGAGAGAGACAACCTGCATCTTGTGCGTCTCCAACTGATTGAAGGAGAGGATGTCAGGTACTCATAGATAGATACATAATATATACATATATATTCTCATTTCCTGAATCTTTTCTATCATTTGATTCAGTATAAACATAAGCAACCAAAACAAACACTGGAGGTGTGTTCGCATAATTATGGAGGAAAATATTTTATTTCCAATTCACATCATCACATGGAGAACAAGCTTCCTGTGCAATGTCATTGATCTGAACTCCAAAATCATAGACCACCCCCGTCTTCCAATCGGCAGGAAGCCCCTTTTGTGCCGACACCGACTTCCGGTCGTTCCCAGTCGTCACAAAAAATCGAAACTGCAACGGCCCCGGAGGAGCCTTACTTACGTCCCACACAGCCCCAAAATTTCGTTCCATGGGACTCCAATTTGTTGAACCAGCCTATAGTTTTAGCAGCAATAGAAAAAAAAAGACACTATAATTAACGTGACCTATTCAACATTTTACTCTAACAAGGCAGTAATAAAATGGAAGTTTGAGTTTTACTTTTACCTGGGCAACGTCAACTGCAACAATATCGGTTTGGCCACCTTGGTACAGGAACTTAATTGCTAGATAATGTGGGTATTGACTTGATTCTTCCACTCGAACAGCTAAATTTTGATTATTGTAGACACATGGTACTCTGTTCCATACCATTGAAATTTGTTACGAGGAATTACAATCGTATAAACGAATTAATCTTAATTCATATTGGATCGTTCTATCATTTATGAATGTGTAAACACATAGATTAATTGCTTTCTTTTTCTTTTAATAATTAATATATAATGAAATGTGACATTAATTAATAAATAAAATGCGGGCTCACCTCTTATATTCCACGTCGACAACCCCTAGTTTCAAAACTTCTTGGCCCATTCCATTATTAGCCATGGCCATGAAAGCTTTGTTGCTAACAACAAAATCATTGTGGTGGTTCTGGTTGAGATCAATTACTGTTACTCCAGTCCCTTCTTTGTTACAAATGGTTGTGTTTTTGCATCTTATCTGAAAAAAAAAAAAAAAAAAAATCAAACACACTCAAATCATAACAAAAGATCCCATAACGGAATCATAAACACAATTGCATGAAGAGGTTAGTCTCCTTGCCAGTCCCCTAAGGAGACTGTTACTTTTATTATTTTTTATTTTTCGGACCTGACTTTTTTTTCTTTTTTTTTTTTTATTGTTTTTGCCTATTCTTCTCTCTCTCACCCTGCTCTCTCTCTCTCTCTAAAGAAACCCAAAAAAACTGATCTCTGTAATACCCAAAGGTGCCGAGCCCATCTTCATACCATTGATGGCTGGTTTTGGGTATGGGTTCGTTTAGGTTCATCTTCCCCTCTTGACCCACAAACACTTTCTCTCTACTCATCTATGCCCAGCCGTGCCGACAAGCAAGATGACTGAACGACCGTGCTGTGTCTCTTTTGGAGAATCATGACTCCGAAGAGTCAGGATTTCACAAAAGAAACTCCTTTTGGGTAAAAAAAATATTATTTATTTATTTATTTATTTTTGTATGAGAGAATGCACGACTACTTGTGAATACTTGTATATAACATTACCTGAAAACACGCACCACAACCAGCACCATCTCTGTAAAGGCTAGGAACAGCAGCTGCAAGGTTTCCACCATTGAAGCCTAAAGCCAACGCACCATAACCACAAGCCCCAGCTGCACCAAATTCAAGAAATCAAAATTACCAACTATATATATATATATATCAGTTGGGTCAGTGCCAATTTGTTTTTTTTTTTAGTCATCATAATACTTTTTGGGTGTTGTCAACCAATCAATACTAAAATATCAAGCATAAGGAAAAAAGATAAAATTAAGTATGAGTCTTACCTGAAAGAACAGAATCTGAGGCGTAGTAAGCAACCTTGGCTTGATGTACACATCTATCACAAGCACTCGCAGATGAGATGATCAAGAAGAACAAATATAGAAAGAGAGCCATTTTGCTGATAAAATTATTTAGAAAGAGTGAATTAATTAATGGTGAGTCTAATGAAAAATAACGCACACACAGAGATTATATAGTGGGAGAGAGAGAGAGAGACTATAAGGAGAGGATTAGTGGTGTCCCGTTAGCAATTCAAAGTTCTCATTTGGTTCATTGAATTATCCACCAAATAAGGACCCAACCTGATGTGGCTTTGCCACGTCAGATTCTTTTTATTAGAAGATCAACAAAACAGAGGGAATGCTGTTTCCCAGGAGATTGAGAGAGAGAGACTTTGGTGGAAAGAGTACCCTCTGAATTATTTGGTATTGAAAATGGCTTAAATGGAAAAGAATAAGGGCGCGTTTGGTCGATGCACAAGAGGGAAAGAAAAAGAGTACCCTCTGAATTATTTGGTATTGAAAATGGCTTAAATGGAAAAGAATAAGGGCGCGTTTGGGTCGATGCACAAGAGGGAAAGAAAAAATGTTATTCCTTATTGAAAATAATGAAAAGAATAGTGATTTGAATCATGAGGAAAAAAAAAAAAAAGGTAACAATAGTAATTTTTTCAACTTGTTTAGAAATGATACTAAAGAGTAATAAAAAATTACTAATATTTTATTATGTATGGAAAAGGTACTAAACATCGATCCACTTAATATAAAAATGAGCACTAAAAATTTGATACTAAAGAGCTAGCACCGGAAATGAATGTTACAAATTAATTAGATTTGGTTAGCGCTTTAGTAATGAAATTTGTTTGATGCGTCAACAATTTTTTTTAAAGGATACACTCAATGTGTTGGATTAATGATTCAATTAATAATTTACTTAATAATTCATCTAATGAAGAAAAGTTTTAACTTTACAGCATTTTGAATCCTATACATTTAAGACAATAAGTTTAAAGAATTGAGTTTAAGCCCATTAAATCCATACTAGGAGAAGTTTAATTTTCATGCACATTCAAATATCTCTGAGATAGGATCATTTTTTGTATTTGAAAGAGATTTTAATATCTTCAAATAAATACACGTTTTTTAGTCTCAACAAAATTCAAATGACAAAAGATTCAATTATTCATCTGTATTTGAACCATTAAATTATATCAGCATTCCACAATCTTAGATAACTGTGGAGAAATTTGAGAATATTCAAGATGGTGGTAAATAATTGTAAATATCTAAGATATTTTGATAATTGATTTCCGAATTTCTCGTTGAGAAAGTAGATACTCTATAAATAATAAATATGCCTCATCTAACCCACCACCAACAACATTCATTGTTGTCCGTGCGATAGTGTTAGATTTTTAAAATAACATAGTTGAAATTGTTGAATTATAAGTTTAGAATATATGTTAATCAAATTAGCAAGATCGAAATGGGGGTATATACATTCTCATTATGAGAAAGTGTCATTGGATCGTATCAAAATAGATAGTATGTTTGTATATAGATTCCTACATTATTTCATTCCATTTAGGATTATGAATAGGTACAGTAATCGAACCTGTTTTACATATCTATTGTTAGGAACCTATTTACCTCTTTCGTCAATTTCAAGTAGTTACCCTTTTATTCTAATTTTGAAATAAAATTTATTCCACAAATGTTGTATTCTCAAAGCAGTTGTATCAATAGAAAATATGTATTGTTATTGGAATAAGACTTTTTATTTTTATTTTTTAGATAACAATGTTGTTAAAATATTATCGATTTAAAAAAAAAAAATCAAAATATTGTGTTATATTTTGTGCTTACACTTACATACAGTAGCATTTTAAGCTTTAAGCCCAGCTCACATTAACCCAAATACGATTTTAATCAGTTAATACAGCTTAATAATGGACCAGATTTGAACAATCTGACCCAAACATTTTTAAAACTTTTCGTCTATCATTAATATTATTGTGAATTTCCCATCTATCATTATTAATTGTAATAAAAAATGGGAGATATGGGAGACGATATTCGCACATATTTATCATTTTTTTAAAGAAATGACAAGAAGGTCCTTCATTTCATTAATACACAATTCCTTAATTTATAATGTAATAACTACCCTTTATAATTTTTTTGATTTTTTTTTTTCACGTCAAAAGAAATAATTTTTTATTTTATTTTTTTGATCCGGTCAAAAGAGGCAATTTATTCAACATAAAAAAATATATATTTATTTTTGGTCCCTTAAAAAAAAAAAATTATCCAATTTTTATTTTATTTTATTTGTATTGTCAAAAATACTTAAAATATTAAACATTAGAGATAAGGAGAGAATTTATGAAAGAGTAGTTATGTCATTTATAAAATAATAATTATTTACTTGTAAAGTTAAAGTTAGAATTATTATTTCATTTAAGATTGTAGTGGAAATGTTACAAAATAGAGTCTGAATATCCCTTCCTTAAAAAATCTACCCTTAATATTATTTTAAGTTAACATACTCGTGAATGTTATTTTGTGTATTACATACAAATTGTTAGACTTAATAGTACTCCATAACTCAAAATCTCAAAACCACACACCGATGGCAGCAGAGCTCTATAAAACCAATGGTAGCCTTAATGGTTTTGTATTTCTGAGCGCATTACATGTCAGAAAAGTTCACCTAATGGTGATCATAAATAACTCAAAATGTTTTGTCACCATGTTTTTGGGCAAAGTTGAAGCTAGGAAGACGGTTAAAGATATGCCAAGTATTGGTGCCAAACAATAATTTATTTTATCTTTCTGATTGAATTTTGAGTATAATATGAACAGCTCAAGAAATTAACAATGGAAAAATAAAATATATCAAGAAATTAACAACATTTCACGCTACGGTGTTATTAAAAGTTTCGTCCCATAACAGAGTTCAAGTTTAAACTTACTACTACCCAATTGGATATATTCTCATTTCCCTAATCTCCTGTCACTTGATACAGTGTATATATAAGAAACCAAATAAAAAATTAAAACTATATTCACATAATTAGTTGGGAAAATCTATCATTTCCAATTCCCATCATCACACGGAGAACAGCCTTCCTGTGCAATATCATTGATCTGAACTCCAGAATCATAGACCGTCCCTGTCTTCCAATCAGCAGGAAGCACATTTTGTGCCCACACCCGCTTGCCGTCGTATCCAGATGTCACAACCAATCTAAACTGCAACGGCCCAGTCGGAACCCTACTTGTGTCCCACACAGCCCCATAATTCCGGCTCATGAATCCCCAATTTGGTGAACCAACCTATAATTTTAGCAACAGTAGAGAAAAGACATTATAATTAATGTCAACTATTCCACATTTTACTTTAACAAGTCAGAAATGAAAAGGAGCTTTCAGTTTTACCTGGGCAACATCAACTGCTACAATTTCTGTTTGGCCACCTTGGAACAGGAACTTAATTGCGAGATAATGTGGTTTTTGGCTTGATTCTTCCACTCGAACAGCTAAATTTTGATTTTTGTAGGTACATGGTACTCTGTTCCATACAATTGAAATTCGTTATGCAAAATTAGAATTATTATGTTGGGAAGTGTCCAAGTGACCGTTTGAATGTCAGAAAAATGCTATTCAAATGGGGACAATTTGCGGACAAGATCATAAATATATCTTTTTTTTTATATTTATTGGATTTCTTTACTACTCAAAAAACATGCATTTATTTCATCAAATGCATATGACAATTAATATTGGATCGTTCTATCATTTAATGTGTTTGTTTTTGTGTAGCAACCATCACAGAGTCACAGACAGATCATTGCCGGCCCACAACAAAGAAATGGTGTTTTTTTTTTCAGTTTAACAAATCCATTATCATAAAAATGAAAAAAAAAAAAATATATATATATATATATATAGTGAAATGTGACATATCCATGGGCTTACCTTTTATATTCCACGTGGACAATCCCAAGTTTCAAAATGTCTTGGCTCATACCATTATTGGCCATGGCCTTGAAAGCCCTGCTGCTCAGAACAAAATCAGTCTGGTTGTTGTTGTTGAGATCAGTTACCATTACTCCAACCCCTTTTTTGGCACAAAGGGTTGTGTTTTTGCATCTTATCTGAAAACAAACCCCAAATAAAAACAAAATATTTCATAACTTTAAGGCATAAACACAATTGTAACAAAAGAAAAGAAAATTGATTTGTCCTTTGTGCATAGTAACATCTAAACAACAATTCGTTGTTTCGTGATGTAACTATTGCAATTACCATATAGTGTGCTGCGAATAGATTCGGGTTTGTGAAAGAGTATGCATCACAACTTGTGTATACATCATATATATATATATATATGTGTGTGTGTGTGTGTGTGTGTGTGTGTGTGTGTAAAGTGTAAACATATATACCTGAAAACATGCACCGCAACCAGCTCCATCTTTGTAAAGGCTGGGAACAGCAGCTGCAAGGTGCCCACCACTAATGCCTAAGGCCAATGAACCATAACCACAAGCCCCAGCTGCACCAAATTCACAAAATCAAAATCACCCACTATATATATATATATATATTTCAACAAAATAACAACTGGGTCTATGCCATTTTTTTTTGTTTTTCCCTCCATCATAACACATTTGGGCATCATCAACCAAGCAATATCAAAATACCAAACATAAGAGGAAAAAAAGAGAAAATTAAGAATGAGTCTTACATGAGACTGCAGAATCTTTGGAGAAGTAAGCAACCTTGGTTTCATGTACACATCTATCACAAGCACTCGCAGATGATATGATCAAAAAGAAGAAGAAGCAAAGAAAGAGAGACATTTTGCTTATTCTGTGTTTAAAAAGAGAGAATTAATGGTGAGTCCAGTGAGAAAATACACAGGCATAACGTATACATTTATAGAGACAGAGACTACCAACAACCACGGAGAGGAAAGTGGTGTCCAGGTCAGCAATTGAAAGAGAAGAGATGGATTAGATTTGGTTCATTGAATTATTATATTATTTTACTTTGGCATTGGAAAAGACTATTAGATGGGAAAGAGACACGCAATTGTGAGTACGCGGCTGGACAAAAGTCCGTCACCGACTCTCTGTTTGTTGTTAACAGCTATGAGTTATGAGGACACAATCTTGGCGTTGGGAGAGCATTTATTTGTTTTTGTGTCCACGTAGATTATAGGCATGTTAGTCGGACATACTAAAAAAAATAAAAAAGTGTGATATAACAATCTCTTTTTTGTGTCAAGGGTGTGTTTGGTTCGATGCACAAGAGGCAAAAGAAAAAAAATTGTTATTGAAATTAATGAAAAGAATAGTGATTTGAATAATTAAGAAAATAAAAAAGAGGAAACAATTGTAATATCTTTTCAACTTGTTTAATTCGAAAAGATACTAAAGTGTGATAAAAAAAAATTACTAACATTTTATTTTGTATGAAAAAGGGTAAAAATAAAGAATTACTTAATATAAAAATGAGAACTAAAAATGGAATATTGTTCTAGTTAAAAGACCAAAATTAACTCAAAGTAGGATCATCTACATGGTCTGTACCAGCAACTATTAGATGGGTAATTTATGTCATGTATGTTACAAATTAATTAGGTTTGACAAGCTCTTTATTAATGAAATTTGTTTGATGCGTGCTGTCAATGGATTTTTTTTTATTTTTTTGTTTTAGGATGCACTCAATGTGTTGGATTAATGTTTCAATTAATAATTTACTTAACTATTCATCTAGTGAATAAATTTTTAACTTTACTAATGTTTTGAATCCAATACATTTAACAAAATGTCTTACAAAAATTGAGTTTATGTCCATTAAATTCATGATAAGAAAAGTTTAATTTTCATGGACGTTGAGATTCAGATCTCTTTGAAATGGCACCATCTTTTTGTATTTAGAAGAGTCTTTAATATTTTCAAACAAATACGCGTTTTTAAGTCTAAAAAAAATCCAAATATTAGAAGATTCAATTATTAATCTTTATTAATCTATATTTACACTACGAAATTATATCACTATTCATGTATCACTCTTAGTTTTTTTCCCTGATATATAAAGATATATCTAGCTCAATCAGTATTTATAATGTACTGTTTATATACTGTTTTGGTAAATTTTCTCTCGCAGATGAATTGTCTTTTGTGCGCGTCATATTATTTACTTTTGGAAGTGTGTGTATCCGAGAAGCGAAGGTCAACGAAACATGAGATGATAAGGTTGTTGAATATACTGATTTCTTGTAAGTGAGTGGAGATATTGGAAAAAAAACAAGTCTACAAGTCGTTGCTGTCAAGCAAACATAATTCCAAAGTCTAAGAGCTAGGCCATCTATATATATATATATATATATATATATATATATATATCCTTTTCTTTGCTTAACTCTCACCTAAATATTGTTCCGAGGTTAAACTTTTTAATGAATTAAAGGATCCTACTTTCATATATTAGATTTCTGTTAAATAGTAAAATTTTATAATTTGTTTAATATAATGTATGAAATTCGTGTCATTGTAAAATAAGAAATGAGCGAGCATGACGTCCACTTCATGTAGTCAATTCATCGTGACACTAATTGATTTATAAAAGATTCACTACCTTCTTTGTCTTTCAAACGATCTCACAACGGGAACATAGATAGATCAATTTCATGAATTTCGGTGCCTTTGGTTCAAAAGGAGCATCAGTCCCTCAGCATATGTATTAGAAGAACAAACAACAAAAAATTCAACAATAATAGTAATAAATAAAAGTAAGACTTGAGAATTAATCAGCTCACTGTGATTTACTTGTCAAAGATTCAATACAGAGCTCGAAATGCTTATAAATAAATTATATATCAGTTTGATGTACATTTACAAGAGTCACAATCCTAATGCCCACACGTTTTCAAATCATTCTCTTGATTTTTGCTGATTTTAAAGAGAGTAGGCAATCATCTGTGATCGATGGTGCGCACTGACTCAGAACAAAATTTTAAAATTGGGAAGTGGAGTAGAAATGGGTTCATAAAACTAGTGAAAGTGGGATTTGATGAGCATTGAAGTGGACAAAGTTGCTCAAAAAAATTGCACTTTGGACCATTCAAAATCAACTGTAAAATTCTATGAATATCTAAGTTATCTAGTGGATTCTGATTCTATGGAAAGCCAGGCATGACCAAAAGCCTCGGCCAGCTATAGGTCAACATAGTCCAACCAATCTAACTCCAATTTGTCCCTCGAATTTTACAAGTCGTTAATATTGTCAAGCAAGAATAATTCCAAAATGTAACAGCTGGCTAGGTCTAAAAATCCAACTCGTCGACACCCAATTTATCAGAAACGACGGAAGTGAGCGATATGCAAGTGGGGATACGAGACGTGTGTCTCTAATTCTCATTGGAAAGGAATCAACTGAATATTCTTTCAGTCGCCCGACTGATACAGTTTAACACACAGTGATACTTAATTGACTTCAAATCGTGTAATTGTAGAAAGAATATCAAGCAGAAAAATCAAATGTCTTATTAGATCAATCAACAAATAGTGATTCTTTTTTTTCGTAGTTTAATTATTTAAGTTTGGACGGAGCTGAGGAATGCATTACAACAAGAAAAAGGGCAAAGCTAAGCTTGCCTTATTATTAGAGGAAGGGGAGTACCCTCTTATTGACGCTTCGTTTAGGTGCTCTATTATTGCCTCCTTTGAGTGCTCTATTATTGCCTCCTCTTACCTAAGAAGTTATTGGACTACTTACTTTTGGAGTGCGATTTTCAGAACCATCAAATGACTAAAATCCCTCAAACTAGGACACCATATGTGAATTTTCTTTTTCCCAATAAATACACCATATACGCATGGTATTAGATCATAATTTGAAATAGGACTATGATGCCATCAAATGACTAAAATCCATAAAATGAGGTCCATGACACCTCATAGTTTTGGGGGCATTAGCATTATAAAATGAGGTCCATGACAACTCATTGTCCCATTTCTAGGACTCATTTTGAAACGACCAAGTCCAAAGATGTTTGTTTGAGTGCATTCTAGTCACCGCATGCCAAAACAATAATGAACATGTAATATTGTCTAGGGATTTTTTTTATTGATTTTTTTTTTTTTTTTCGAGAACCCATTTGTTGCGCCCACAAACTCACCCTGAGAATCTACTTACCCAAAAAGTATCTACCAAGGCCTTGCAACCTTATTTCCAATATTAATTTACAATTATTATTATGATTGTGATTAATATGACCGAATTTCAATAGTAATTCGAAGAATGAAATAAGTGGAATTTGTTAGCTTTATCTTGGTAAAAAAAAATTATTCACATATGGCCCATCACCTTGCTGTGAATCTTGTAATCATATCATAATATTGCCTCACAAGGTGTCTCCAACTCAATTTCAATGCCATTTTGAGAGATATAGTAAAATTTTGATATTAATCTGACATTCAAACCTTGATTTTTTTTATAATTATATTTAATATATTAATTCAGTCATAGAAGTGAGAGAAAGTGTCCCTTTTGTAATACAAAATAAAATATGTGGAGAAAAACCTGTCGTTAGATTGCAGGCCTAAAAGTTGAGTGGTCCTAGTTTGTGTTTGGAGCGCGGTAATGAACTGTAGTGCCATCCAAACTTTGACTATTTTTAGAAATTGGCCCAATAGGCCCAATAAAGTGGAATGGGTGGATTTCAGCAAGGCTACCCAAATTGAGTGTGTGTGTTGAAATAAGAATATTGTTGAGGTCAATTCCTTTTTATTTATTTATTTTTAATAAACCACAATTACATGTAACAAATATATTACAATTACACATATCAAATGTAATTGAAGAACTTATAACTCACTCACTTTCTACGTCTAACTAAATTATTAATTCAATATCAGTGTTAATCGCTACAATTCATGTGAGAAATCATTTTATCTATCTGACCTAATATATTAATATATAAAAGACATAATATATAAACTCGGACCTCTTGTTCCATTTGTATACTACCCTTGCCATGTCACCATTTTAACTTTTGGTATATGCAAGTGTACAACAATTCTCCTTAGGAGATAATATATATATATATATATATATATATATATATATATGTATTTATAAAAAATTTAAAAACGGAAAATAGAAAAGAAAAAATAAAGTCATTTTCTAATGTAAGTAAGTTTGTCAAGTTGATGAGTTTGTATCTCGTATCTTCTACCATTGTCTAGAGATCGGGGAAAATTATAGAGAAATTTTGAATATGGAGAATTGTGATAGATTTTTGTAAATATTTGAGATATTTTGGTGGTTGTATTGCATTTGAAATGTCCATCCACAAGGTGGATGCTTATAAATAAACAACGTGTCCCGTCTCACCCGTCAAGTGATGAGGATTGGTTATAACGTTATCAATGAAAAATTTTCAAGAAACATTAGTGTAAACATGAATGGTTAGAACATTATTAATGAATGCAAACTTCTGTATACAAACTGTAGAGTTAAGTTTTTGTATGAGAAAAAGATATTTTAATTTAATATTTTTTAAATCTATTCCTTATTTATTACCTTGTCATGTTCAAATTCATATTCCTTATTTATTACCTGAGGTTATGAAATTCAAATAAACAAAAACAAACCTGTATATTATTGTCATGTTCAAATTCATAATAACTATTTACATGATTTAAGACCAACTACAGACGGAATATCATTGAGGCAAGAGCTAGTGAGGCTATCACCTCCAAAAATATGATTCTCCTTTATTATATGAGAATTTTACCATCAATTCCAAAGTTTAAGAAAGTTAAAAATTCTGAAATTTTCATTTGTAGTGTAAGTACTTCGTTGCCAATTTTTGGCCATCACAATCTGGATTTCATATTACTCTGTTGGATTCTGAATATATAATGACATATAGAGATCTACATATGAGTTCAGCAAAATTAATGAAATATATCACTAACCACTACATTTTTTTACCATTATTATTCAGCATAAAGGCTGCACATTTTTTTCCCCTGATTTCCCTTGGAAGACAATGGCCTAAATGAAATGAATTAACAACAATTACTATAAAGTAAATCTGGTAAAGAAAATAAAATTTCTTTTTATCTCAAAATGAATTGTAAATTCTATGAATATCATAAGTTATCTAGTGGACTCTGATTCAATGGAAAGCAAAAGCTAGTTATATTCATGCACTCGGCCAGCTATATGTCAACATAGTCCAACCAATCTACCTATTCAAACTGTTACTTTGGCCGTAAAACATTTTATAAAGAATACTTTTAGCATTTTCAGGTGGTATTTCACAATTTTTGAAGGGAATGAAATCAACCTATTATTACTATTATTATTTTTTTCTTTCTGCAAGCCAATAATTCCAAATTTATAAGTATATATACCCGAGCATAGCACACAGGCATACATATATAGACAAATTTTAGTGTACGTACACAAATATTTTCATCTATAAATATACATGTCTATATGCACGCAGAATCACAGATATAAAATGCATGTTTTCTATATTTGTATACATGATCATGTAAGTGTTTATCATGTATCTTTTAATAATACATTGTTTCAGACCAGCTAACACCAGTTCATTCTGTGAATGTGCATGTTTTCCATTTCACATTTAGGACTCACATTAGGTTTCTCATATTCCCCACACCACATATATATTTTGTACCTGAAGCACAGTTAAAATTTGAAACGATCACAAACTGAAGTAAGGTAACAGTTTCAGACCAGCTAACACTAGTTCATTCCGTGAACTATTACCAATATACAATTACCAAAAGAGCCTCATTCTATAGGCCCCAACTTTTTGTTTAACATGTACACTATGGCTCACTCAACACCATGCTCTTACCAAAATTACTTTGTTTTTTAACAGATACAGGCATAAAGCCATCCTATAAAATATACTTTACACTTTTGTTCCCCCACTAAAAAGAAAAAGAAACCTCTGGTGTATGGTTATGATGTGCTAGAAAAAGGAAGTGTGCTTACCTAAACATTTTATGGACATGGAATCACTTTGAAACTCCCAGGAGCATAAATTGTCCTATGAACTTAACCTCATAAAGTAGAAGTTTCTTAATGGCACGGCATAAGGATTTTCAGCATGCTTTTTCAGAAAGAATGGAAACAAGCTCTGTTCGAGCCTTTTCAAGGGCGCTCAACAAATTCTCAGGTTTCCGTCCTCCTGCCTGAGCAAAATTAGGCCTTCCACCTCCTCCTCCGCCACACAACTTAGCTATAGGCCCTATGAACTTTCCCGCTTGAATTCCTAGATCAACCACCCCAGGACTGAATGCAGCAATTAAGCTTACCTTTCCTTCACCTGGGCATGAGCCCAAAACCACAGCTGCTGGGTCTTGTAATGTATCCACCAGATATTCAGCTGCACTCTTTAGTGAATCAGCATCTATGTCATCCATGCACTCAACTAGCACCCTGGATTTCCATGGGGAAAAAATAGTAATTAATTGAATATTCTACTTCAAAACTCCGAAGGATGAGAAGAACAAAATTTTTTATTAGTGATGCACACATGGGGTAGTGGAGTGACATGGTGAATTTTAAATGATACTGATAGAGTTGAAGCTTATCTTCCCTAGGATTGCATGATTTTGTGAGCTCTTCATGGACATACTTAAAATGTATGATTAATTCGAAACCACTACTCATTAACACATTCTTATGTCTTCCTACTTGCAATAATTTCCTGACATTTATAGATATCTAAAGCAATTCAGTAAATAAATATTAGGCTTTGTGGAGTGGTGAGGGGAAGTGGGCCGTGCGAAAAGCCACAAAATCAGAACTGCAAACTGAAGCACATAATTACCTGATACTTTTTGAAGTTCCTACACTGGATACATTGCTTGCTATGACTGACGCTTTGTAGACTGCTGCTTTCGCCTGCGCAGCTGAAACTTCATTTTTCGTGGTTCGTAATTCCTCCAAGAGAGTTTCTACCCTGGTTGTTACTTCTTCAGCTTTCACCTTCACAGAAATACATGTGATACCATACCACATTCAAAAATTAGAATAATATCCAATGCAATAAGAACAGCATTTTCATGTGCAAGCAAAGCTGCTGAGATATTTGATATATTTAAACTTTGATTTCTAACAGAATACTAAATCCAGTATAATCCTACTTTATTAACAGCTAAAGAAATTGGTTGTTCTGCATTCTAGTGGATAAAGTGAGCCTCCTATGGAACAATGAAACAAAATCCAATTGCAAGAAAAGAATCAACATTAGTGGAAAGATGATAAGAGACTTTCGTCAAGGTTTTTTTTATTTTTTTATTTTTTTATTTTTTCTTTTTTGAAAGGCACTAAGGTCAAGCTTTTGCCTTAAAGTAATATGATTGAGGAGCTCTACCATAAAAGATATCTGACTTCCACCCACGGTTGCATACTTAAGAATGCTCGGGAAACATGGTCTACCTTAAGTCAAGATAGGCAAAAATATGCTACAACCACCACCACCAAGCCTTTCCCTAATTATTTGGGGTTGGTTACAAGAATCCCACGTTTCTATTCCACTCTATTTAAGGCCATAGCCTCAGTCAATCCACATGCTATCATATCTTTCTTTACTCACTCTGCCCAGGTTAACTTTGGTCGTCCTCTTCCCCTAGTATTACCCTTAACGTGGACTATGTCACTTTTCCTAACTGGCGCACTTAAATGTCTTCTTTGCACATGTCCAAACCATCTTAACTATTTTTACTTAATTTATCTCCAATTGGTGCTACTCCACATCTCCCGAACGTGATCATTTCTGATGTAGTGCAAACATGGCAGCCATGTCAACAAATTATGGATGCTGAGGTGGCGGTGGTTCAACAGAAAGATCAACGGTTATCTTGGAAGTGGCTTGGAGTAGAAGACTTATTTACAACTACTTATATTTGTATTTCATAATATTTTGTGTTTAGTAAGTTGTGTTTAATTTATTGTCAGCCTTGAGTCTAGTGTTAAAAGTTGGGAATTGAAGCCTCATTAATATAGTGTTGAAGATGAAGACTCCTATTTATAGGCAGTGGAAGTGAAGGAGAATTCAGACTTTGAATATTATGTTTTGATAATGAAATTATAGAGCGTAGCTCTTTGTTTATCCAACTCCTTTCTTAGTTGTGTCTTATTGTTCTATAATTCTTCTTCTTCCCTCTCATCCACCCGCGTCAATTTATAATTCTATCCATTCTAGTCTTACCACACATCCATCTCAACATTTGCATTTTTGCCACACTCACTTTATGCAAATGTTGTTTCCTAATTGCCCAAGATTCGGTGGCACAAAGTATGGCGGTCTAATAGCTATTCTATTTGTATAGAACTCCCCTTTCAATTCGTAAGGTAATAGCCTATCACATAATATACTAGATGTACTCCTCCATTTAACATATCCTGCCTTGATTCTATCATTAACGTCATCTCCAATTTCTCCCTCATTATGAATAATTGAGCCTAAATAACAAAATTGTTCAATTTTTTGTATCACTTAATTCTCAATCCTCACTGCATCCTCATTTAAGTCATTTGTGTTTCTTGATTTACTAAAGTTACACTCTATATATTCAATTTTATTTAACAGGAATAAATATGCTACGTGCTAAATTATGAAAATGGAATAAAATTCTGCCAAAACCAATTGCACTCTAATAGACACGTCTTCCTTCTTGTAAATTTGGTACTCTAATGAACATGGATTATGGAAGCCTGATGATAATTTTTAGAAGAGATATAATATGCGAAATTTGGCAGCATAAAGAAAGAAAATCAAGATAATCCAACAGGAGTCCAAAAGAAAAAACATACTTTGAGAGTGGAGCACAACTGTTTCATGTAATTATCTCTGGCACTAACATATTCAATAAAAGCTTCACCAGCAACAGCTTCGATACGCCTTATGCCAGATGCAATCCCCTGTTCTGAGATTATTTTGAAGCCACGGATTTCAGAAGTATTGCTGACATGAGTGCCCCCACATAGTTCCATGGATACATCTGGAACCTCAACGACACGTACCTAAAACAGTTCAAGTATAAAGGGGGAAGAAAAAGAACAAAGTGATTTCCTGTTGCTCGACTAAAATTCTTGGACATGCATAATTTGTAGTTAAACACCCAAAGTTACGGTACGATATACTCCAAAATTTCTGAAAAAAATATGAAAGACCTGATTTACTTCATCAATTTTGTATGCATGCCAAGTTATATAACGTGTCTAAGATGCTAAATTTTCGACATTTTCAAGTTTAATTGAGTCAAGTGACCCAAAAACAACTTAACCTTGCCTTACGGCTAAAGGATAGAAATTTGCATTATGAATTTTATGTTGACAAGGTCGCAAGAAAGCAAAATGCTCAGGCTTAAATAGATAACTGACACATTGACCCCTAGAAATCATAACATTGGAAATATTACATTCAAGCGTTAATAAATAATAAATAAATAAATGTGAAAAAGGAACTGCTAATAATTTGTTAAACATAAACAACTGTTGAAAACATATTCCACATGTATTATAGTGCCACCTTGTTTAGGTGTACCAAATGGCAAGACATCAGTCTAATTGTGCGGGGAACACTATCTGCATCTAGGACAGCACCCTGCCAAGTGTGCAGCATCTTGCATGCCTCCAAGGGTTGCACACATCAAGAAACTAAAACCCCCCTTTTTACCTTCTTTGGAAGGTTATGATAACATCAAATTCAATAGGTGAATTTCATGGGCCAATATATTCGGTCAGGCTGGAGCTAATTAAAGTACCATACTCTCAGGCTGTGTGGAGTTCCTCTTGGAGGAGTGAATCTAGGAACGATTCTGTAGAACGATCTCATGTTCATGTGGCCATTAAATTCAATTAGACAAACTTTAAATCAGCTGAAGTTGTTTTAAGATCCTAACAGTATTTAGTCGTAAGTAATTCAGTGTTACTTTCAGTACGCAAAGCAGTGATAAAAAATTTATACAAATTTAGGGAGTTTCCACAAGGTTGATGATGGGCACTCTCCACAAATCATCAACACTGATACAAGTTCAAAACATGAGAAAGGGTTCACTGGCAAAAACTTTCCGCTTCTCCTACATTCAAACTTTCTTATTGAGATGAATCAAGAAATGCAAAACAAATTCAATAAAAGCGTAACCCTCAACACAACGAACCTACCAAAAATAACTCAACAAAACATTGTCACAGCTAATTGAGGCCAGCAACATGATTCATGTTTTACCATTCTGCCCTGTCAATAGACTCAAGACCAACTTGAATATTCTCAATTCTGAGTTTTCGTACTTGACAGTGCAAACCTTTATCATTGCACTAAGACATAACTCTCTAAACATATTCAAGAAGCTAGCCAAGTTTTCCCAAAATGCACTAATATTCACATCATTTCCCTGTCAATTGTAGAAAAAACAAGATTTTATAGAAAATTATACCTGTTCTCCATATTTTTCCCCAAACATTGCAATAGCCCCAGCTCTTTTTGCATCATCCAGAGGCATCACTTTAGTTTGCAGAAGTGTAGCATTCCCAATCCATCTATTAATCAGTCCTTCAATCTCCATGAGCTCATTGTCTACAAGAGGTCGGTGGAAATTGAAATCAAATCTGAGACGGTCAAAAGCCACCAATGAACCAGCTTGTGATGTTTCCTGGCCTATTACTTTTTTAAGTGCAGCTTGTAATAAATGAGTAGCAGTATGATGGACCTGCAAAAGAGAAAAGTTTATATAAAAGCCAAAAGAATTGCAAAACACATAAATAAATTGCCAACTACTGCCATATAAATTTACATCAAGGAATATGCAGCTAAGAAACTAAATGGTAAAATGTAAAAACGATAATATTGAACTATTCTAATTTGTACACCAATTTTGCTTAAACATAAACATGTATAGATGAGGGACAAGAAATTTTTTAAGCCAATACCTTAGCTCTCTGCCTAAGGTTTGCATCTACTGCAGCTTCCACTTCTTGGCCGATCTCCATAATTCCCTCCACGATGGTACCTTTATGAACAAATACATTGCCTAGGGATTTTTTAACATCTTTTACCTCTACAATAACTTTCTGTTCCTTTCCAGATTCCATAGCAAATAGAAATCCATGGTCTCCAATTTGACCTCCTGACTCAGCATAAAATGGAGTTCTGTTCAGCAAAACTTCTACTTCACTTCCTTCGGAAACCTGCATTACTGGGTTCCCATTCACCAAGAGACCCTCAATTACTGCTCTGGCAGAAAGGGTGTCATAACCTAGAAATTCAGTGTCACGAATACTTTTAGTTAGATCTGCACCATTTACAACTGCAAGTTTAACGGCATTATGTGCAGCCTGAGATTGACGTCTTTGGTTCTCCATTTCGATATCAAAACCTTTCATATCTATGCTGACACCACATTCATCAGCTACTTCCTTTGTAATCTCCACAGGAAAACCATATGTGTCATACAGAAGAAAGGCATCTTTTCCTGCCAAACAAGGTGCAATTTTATTTTCCCGAGCACTTAACAATGCATTTGCTAGCATTTGGTCAAGAAGCTTTTCTCCTCTCTCCAATGTCTGTACAAAACGTAGTTCTTCCCTTTTCAATTCCTCAAGAATGCGGGTTGCTCTTGTCTTTACATCTGAATCTATACGGGAGCTCAAGTCAATCACTTTTTCTGCAATAGTAGGTAAAAATGCTCCTTCAATGTTTCCCCTACCATCCCCTTTTATACCAAGTAATCTTCCAGTACGAACAGCCCTTCTGATGAGCCGTCGAACTACATAACCTCTCCCTATATTTGAAGGGACAACACCATCTGATAGGAGATAAACAATTGCACGCAAATGATCTCCAATTATCTGAGAACAATAAAAAGTGTTTCATAAAAACAATTCCAAAAAGAAGAAAAAGAAGAATAGAATTCTGATAATCAAATTTCACACACTCTAGAATGACAACATACTTTAAGGTTCATTTTTATAGGATCGTCTGCAAGAGCATATGAAACATTTGCCAATTCTGAGGCCTTCTCTATAATAGGATAAATTAAGTCAGTCTCATAATTGTTTGGAACCTGCAGAAAAAGTGCAACATATAAATAAAACTTTTGAAGCAAAGTAGACGATGGAGAAAAATAAAACTAGAAGCAAGCTAAACCAAAAGTAATCAGCAGACCCTTCAAGAAATGGTTACTAAACGAAAATGGTTATTGTTGCTGTGAAGGTTTTGTCTTTGCTATGATATCCATTACTAAAATCTGTCTCTAATGCATGGACGGGGCTAAGAAAGGCCCGGTGGGGACAGCTGCTACGATTTTATTTTTTGTTTTAATTTTGTATATATAGTTTCTAATAATTCCGGTTACATTAAAAGAAGAATTGAGTTTATGTGACATGAAGAAAAAATAATAATAATTACTAAGAAGTACCACTAACATGTGAACAAAAATATTTTACGTGATAAAGATCCTATTTAATATATACATTTTCTTCATATTACTCAATCATAATTTTCCAATTTTCAGAATATCTTTAGCCTTCACCATGGTATTTATTGTCTTTACGCCTCCAGCCCATTATATTAAAAATCCAAAGTCCGTTCCAATTTAAAATCATACCAAACCCACAACCGTGACCAAAATCTAACCTAAATAATTTTCTCTGCACTAGTGAAAAGTACTGATAATTTGTGTATGTTACTCTGTGGTGCCCTTTTAACGGAATCAAAAGTTGCACCTCTAGAGTATAATCTTGACTCTTGTCACATCTCGATCAGATGTCCCCATTTGCTTGAACATGAGGAGAAATCTTATTCATAACTCAGATATGTGCCCAGCTATAAGTACCTTCTGGAGGATGCGAGCCATACGCTCCAAGCCAAGCCCAGTATCTATATTCTTTTGTTTTAGTGGTTCAAGTGAACCATCATCCTTTTTGTTGTATTGCATGAAAACAAGATTGTAGAACTCAATAAACCTAGTATCATCACCTAGATCCTGCAAATGAATTATTCCAAATAATAATAAATATAGTCGAAGATTCAAACAAAAAAATAGAAAAAAAAGGGGAGAAAAATATGAATAAATAAAGAGTTTGTGAAAGATCCAGCGCCGTGTAAGAACTTAAGAAATACATACAGTATTTGAAGTTCCCCTCTCGGGATGGAAATCGTAATAAAGCTCAGAGCATGGACCGCATGGACCAGTTATTCCACTGGTCCAGAAGTTGTCATCTTCACCCATCCTCTTTATACGCTCTAAAGGAACACCTACCTGAAGCAAGAACAAGATTAATAGAAGTTTCCAGAAGTAGTACTGGTTCAATATTTATTCCACTTGTTCTATGTCCAAAAGACATTTACAAAAGAATTCTCAGGTAAAACCAATACGTTTCCCTGGAATTGACTAACCAAAGAAGCCGGATGAAGATTTTGTACTAGAAGAATTCTTAGTGGTATTTACTAATATACTTGGTATATTTCATATAGTGACAAAACATGAGTTACCAGACTCATATTCAGAGGAAAAGTAATGAAATGTGCTCACATAAGAACGAAGGAGTTAACTAGAAAAGGTATACAAGTATAATGAAACATACAAAACTTGTCCAGCTTACCTCCTCATGCCATATTGCAAAAGCTTCGTCATCATCTTCATAAACACTAATCCATACTCTATCAGCTGGCAATCCAAATCTATAAGCAAACACAATGCACAATAGTTTAGTTTCATTCTTCTTTCCAATAAATTAATAAGAAAATCATGACTATGAAAGAAGAAAAGCACACTCAAACTAACACCACATTAAGAATCTCTATTTTCACCAACATCAGAAGCATGCTGCACCTTATCAGAATGCAAATTAACTTGCTCAAGAAATATGTCTGCTTGTCTAATGAATAACAGATTTTTTTTTGAAGGACTGAGCTTTCTTCATTTGATTTAACGTGATACTAGATGCAACAAAAAAGGCACAATGTCCTGTTAACTAGTAGAGCATGCAGAACTAGTAAAAGCTTCACAAATGTGACTAATGGATAGTAGGTGCTAAAACTGATTGAATTTCAAACCTCGGTATGCATGAACATCTAACGGCCACATATTTCAACATGAAGAACTACAAGACAAGGATCAACTGACATCATTTTTTGATTGCAGTCAGTGTATAAAGGGATTAAAAGGTTTACCTCATATGTGTAGGAAAAGCTGTTGGATAGACTCCTGAGCATAATAATTAGCGCCTATTGGCTTCCAAATGAAGAATGCTATTGAGTAAAAAAATATGAAATTGTATAGGAGGTTATACCAGAGTGATCAGTTCTTTTTTCTTTCTTTTTTTCGGCTTCCAAATGAAGAATGCTATTGATTAAAAATATATGAAATTGTATAGGAGGTTATACAAGAGTGATCAGTTCTTTTTTCTTCTTAAGTCAATATGCTTAACCAATGAATGAAGATGCCCCCATTTAAAAGGGGGAGGGGAAAGAGAAGAAAGGGGAAAAAGACAGCAAAAATGAAGGAGAAAATTACCTTGAGCTTAACATACTATATAGACAAAATGAAGACCTAAAAGAATGTGGGTTGAGCTGTTGGAAAAAAGAAATGTTGGCTTGCGATTTAACAGAAGATATGGCCTGGATGAAGCTTATACAATCCAAAGTGGATGCCTTTTATCATTTCTTTAGTTGAGTTATATCAGCTTAGTAAAAAAAAAAAAATCAACTATCAGTCTACTAGGTTTAATAGATACTACTCTCCAGTATTAGAGTGGGAATAATATATAGCTCATTATTAACTCTTGTAGTAATGGAAAAAAAAAATGAAGGAAGAATAAGATTTAGTCAAGTATTTCTCTTAAAAGCAGATTCAGACATACAACAGGAAGTGAGGAGAGGAAACAACTTTTATGCCTAATCACTATTTCCAGAACAATTCAGTTGAAAGATAATGTAATCACGCTTCAATCAAATAACACATTTATCAGCCTGGACCGTAACACTGCCATAAAATAGTCACATACTCCAAAGTTGTAAGATCCCATGCCCATTTAATTGCCTCCTTCTTAAAGTAATCTCCAAAACTGAAGTTTCCGAGCATCTCAAAGAATGTATGATGCCGAGTTGTTCGGCCCACATTCTCAACATCGTTTGTCCGGATGCACCTTTGGGAAGTTGCAGCACGGGGTACTTCTCTGGGCGCCTGAACAAAAAGTGCCCATACTGTCAAAGTGGCTCAAACTTTTATTCAGAAAGACCATGTGGGAAGTAACAGCCCAATTCACATTGCATCAAGACAATAGCAAAATTGAGACAGGCACAATATAGGTAAAACAATATGCAACAGCGAATTCCATTAACAGACCCTGTAGATGGCATGAACCCCACCACTAACTAGTTAACTGCTAATATGATCAGACTTGTGGTGTCATAAAAAAGCATGCAATATATTAGCTAGCCCAAGTATGGAATATGCATTGGGACCTTCTGGCAAAATAAACTTTGACCTATGCTACAAGTTTTGTCAATGTATTCAGTTATAATAAATCATATATGGTTAAAAAGTCCAAACAACATGGGACAAGACATACAAGTTCAGATTATAAGTATTAGGTTCTCTCAAAGCAGATAAGGTCTATAAATTGGATCCTTAATCTTTACAACTGTATGTTTGACAATATGCGTGAAAATATTTCCATGACACTAAAGCATGATTCCTCATATGAGGCATACAACTCTACTAGTTTTGATAGCTTTTTCAGTAATAGATTGATTAAAGAAGGCAATAATGCTCAAATTATTTATTAATATGCTCAATAATTAGTTAGTCACCTGAACACCACCACCCACCCACCAGCTTAATTCTGTTTTCAACAGAATAATTTACAAATCTAAATTCAGGTTTTTCAGAGGCTGCAGAATCACAGATAAATACCTTTCCAAGGAATATAGGTTTGAACTGAAGCATTCCTGCAATTGTCAATAGAACAGTTGGATCATCTGGCACAAGAGAAGCACTTGGAAGGATCTTGTGACCTCGCGAAGCATAAAAATCAAGAAATCGCCTGCGTATGGAATCCCCACTTGTAGGAAGATCATTGGACTTATCCTCCAACAATTCTTTAGTCATAGGTTGTATTGATGCTGAATAAGAGATCCAGAAAAAAATTATATCCTTCTGAAGTTGGAAGCTGAAGAATATATAAGCTCCAATAACAAATAATATACATTAACCAAAGAAACCTGATGTACTTCTTATGTTGAATCGCACTTCTCGTGCTCCCCTCATATAAAAGTTTTTAGAGGGCAATCTTCTAGGATAAATTTGGGCTAATGTCTGTATAATGAGGCCTGAACAATCCCTGCAACCTACATTCAAATTCTCATGCATAAGCCTGGAAAATTCAACGTTATGCACAGAATATGGAAATGAAAAACATCAATGGCAGAATATGACATTTTTACATAAATGGTATTCAGTCTGCAAGCCAAGTTGATTTCTAGCAACCAAACAATTTTACTGCTCCCTACTTAGCAAGCCTCATGGATGCACCTTCTGTGCCCCAAAGGGTTTGTTATGAATAACCAAAACTGTCACAACTGAAATTCATTTTGGCAATGAATTCAAATACTTTAGAGGAACCATACCAAGTCTTTTCAATTATCTGTCCACCAAGAACAACGGTATAGTTAACATGGATGAAGATGTCAAATAGGCTATTGAAATAAGCACCTTATTTCTCCCCGTGTTAGAGACCTGGCTTTTCTTGATTTGAACAAGACATGTCAATTTTGGCTCACTTTCTTCTATGGTTCAATTTAATCAAGATAAGTCTAAATTTTACAAGAATGAATTTGATGCTTGATAGACTTTCAAAATAAAAAGACCCATCAGGCCTAAATAAGAGACTCACACAAATTTTAAAAATAAAAAATTCAAAGAACTCTAGAGCTTGTTCAACCAAGTCCCATAACTTTTTGATGAAGCTTTAAGCAAGATAAAAAGAAACAAATCCATTTTCTTAACCTAAACAAACCCAAGAATCAACAAGCGGGCCCTTGAATCCGCAAGATAAGAAACCTAATCAGAAGTAAAACCCTACCTGTGGTTCCCCATCCAATGCTGTGGCCTATCACACAAGGGAAACCTGAATGATGATCTAATAATCCCCATTCAATGCACTGGCCTATTTACAAGCTTCATAAGACCAAAATGACAAGTAGAAAAGCTTCAAAATTTACCCAGCAACAATAATAACCCTATAAGAACCAATTTTAGAACCATGAAAATTTCCCCCAAAAAAACCTTCTAATACAGAAACAGCAAAAACAGAGATAGCACTCTTTCCAGAACAATTCCATGGCAAAGAAAACAAAATTCTTAAGGCAACAAAGAATAATCAACTAGTTGACTCAGCAATTCTTTCTTTTTTTTCATGTAATTAGTTACCAATTTATAGCAGGTGATGGAAGGGGTTGTGGCGCGCAACATAGTTACGGCTGAATGTGAATTTACATATACATATAAAGAAACACATATATGCATATACACACACAGAGTATCGGAAAATAAATTACCAGTGGAAAGTGGAGGGCTGCATTTTGGCTGAAATCTCGATAATAAGGTTGAAGTATGAAGTGGGACAATAGATTTCCCTCCATAGCTGTTGTGAAGACAGCATGGCAGATTCAAACCTTCCATGGCCAACCCCCCCTCTCTCCCTCTCTCTCTCTCTCTCTCTCTTCTGATTATACTCGGGTAGTATAATTCGAATTGGCGCTATATAAGTTGTGTTTTGAGAGAGTGAGAGTGAGACTGAGACTGAGAGAGGGAAGATAAGCTTTTATTGGACATCCACATGTTTTAGTTACGGTTGAAAATTGAAATGCCCAGCAGCAAAGGTTGTATGATTTGTGAAGAAATTGAGGGTCTTTTTCTTTCTTTTTTTGCAGGTAAAAAAAAGATATAATAAATACTGAGTAAATAAAATAAAAAGAAGGGTAGAGTGCACTAACACCATTATGAAACTTAGCCTATTTGAGACAAAGGCACCCCTTCAAGTTTCATACAGATACCAAAGACACCCCAATGGTAATGAATTGACATTTTTGCCTTTGACCTTTATATTGACCAATTTGAAAGTTGAAATTACATTTCTAACATTTACTCACAAACCAATCATTCTTCTTCCTTCTCCCATCGTCGTTTTAAACACATAATTTTTTTAAAGTAATATAATAATTTTTGCAGCTTTATATATATATCAAACTCCTCTCCACAGCCTGTCGCCCACCGTTGCCATCACTCCATCTCAGCCGACCTCGCCGTTCCGAGCGAAGCCACAACCTCACCGCCGCGAGTCATTCACGGCCAAGTCAGCCAACTTCTCCACAGTCATACCAAGCCCATCACCGTCCCGCCGCTCAGTCTTGTCGGCGCCATCATCCGAAGCCACAAGCTCACAGCCGAACCTGTCCACCGCCGCAGCTCATCGCCGCTGCCACCACTTCACCGCCGGGCATAACCATTATAAGCACTACCGATTCAATTCCAAGCTTGCCGGATGTTCCCCTCACCGACCGATCTCTCCACAGCCGACCCCTCCATCGCCTGTCAGACCATCACGACTGAGCCCTCCACCGGCCGATCTTGCCGCTGCCATCACGCCACGAACCACCCCATCGCGACTGAGTTCACACCACCGTCCGAAGCCTCCTTGCTCGCCGGCCCATGCCGCTATCTCCATAACGGAACCATCCATGGCCGAGCTATTCACCGCCGTTCCTCACCGACCTAATCCTTGTGTCGCCGTGAACTCTCTACTCTCTAGTTGTGGATCGAGACAGTACTTGGTATTTGAACATTGCAACAAATTTATGTATATTTTATATATACACACACACACACACACGTAATAATTTTTGCCGCCGCCGAGCAGAGCATCTCTATCGTAGGTGGGTTCATCACCGCCAAGTAGATCACCTCCATGGCTCCATCATGGGTGGGTTCATCAGCGCCTAGTAGAGCCTTGCTGGACAATTTCACGGTTGTGAGTATATATATATATATTTGCTATATCGGTGTATTAGAGAAGTGTATAGAGAGAGAAATGAGAAGGGCAATTGGGTCATTTAATTATTTTTGATATTTTACTATTAAAATTAATCAAATAATGTAGGGCAAATTAGACTTTTCACACATTTTTAGGCTCTGTTTGGCTGTCAAATATAACAAGGGGGTGTCTTTGTCCCAAAACAAGCGAAGTTTCATATGTGTGTCCTTTTGACAAACTTGAGGGGGTGTTAATGTACTTTACCCTAAAAAGAATTATAATAATAGGTATTTGTAAGGAACTTATAGGGCCACTTTTTAAAAAATTGTCCGGTTTGGTTTAATATAAAGGCCGCTTTTTACATAGTCTATCTCACGTTCTCAACCATAACATCTTCAAAGTATATGGATTGACCCATGTGATTTATGTAGAATTTAATTAAATGAGAGGCCCAAAGGACCCACACCAATCACTTGGGCTCTCCTAATACTCGTGATTCTCTTAGAGGCCTAAACCAAACATGTGGCCATAATGCATTTGCATGCCCAATAAGGTGCAAGAGATCCGTAGCATCGTGATGTTGACATCGCTCAATTTCCACGTAACACATCTCTTAATGCACTAAAACACAAATATAACGATTAACATTCACCCTATAAATTTTGTTTCCTTTCGAAATAGATTGATAAATTCTTAATAAGGATAAAACAGTAAAAAAAAAAAAAAAAAATGTAATTCACTTCTGCTTGAGATCTATAATTTGTTTGATTTAGTTTCAAATTAAAAATGATAATAATAATAATTCCATTCCTATTTTAGAACACAACTTGGAAAAGGAGTCCAATTCCTTTTAGAAATAGTGATTTCGGTCGACGGAAACCCGTTCATCTTCATCTTCATCTTCAGTGAGTTTGTCCCTTCAAACCTTCATTGTTGGAGTTTCAAAACTTTAATTTACCATTCCAGAATGTCCCAACAATGACAATACATATATAAATTTGATTTCAATATTGTAAAACACAATTTATGAATCAATTCACCAAAACATGAAAGATGTAGACAAACCCATTAACATACCATCATACTTTATAAATCTGATTTTAATTTACAAATAGGATTATTAATTTAGATTAAAAGTCCTGGAATTAATCTAGATATGTATTAAACACTAATCCAATAAGAAGTGTTGATGTGTAAATCCTCACGACTCGGAACAACGGCGTTTACCTGCAAAACAAAAGGACGTCACCTCGAATGGCACCGATGGGATGCCAGCTAAGGACCCTCCGACGATCAAGTTAGTCCCTGTAATCGTATCACATAATAATTATGTATATTATCTTTAGGGGTTTTTTCACGTACCTTCTTTAACGGCTTGGTGTCCTATTTATGGCTGTCGATTGTAATCAAATTGGTCCCGGGAGATTTGCTTGTGCGAGATCAAAGGAGATCATCTGTTGCCAGATTTGTTGGGGATATGATTTACTCCTTTGACTTTCTCAAATTATGCCAAGGTTATCCTCACCCTGTTAAACCACGTCGTCATTCATTATCCTAGATAAGAAATGTCATCATTCTTATTCCATGGAAATCTTTATCTCTAATAACGAAATATGTCGAAGAGGTCTGGTAGCTGGTCAAGGTAAGTTATTTTTTCCTATCAGTTGCCCCCATTCTAAAGCTTGCTTATCTAGCCTTGGGAATGTAATTTTTTTTTTTGCCCTGGAACAGTACCTCACGGGTATTATTCCCGCAGGTACTGTTCATGTGAACAGTACAAGAATTTTTTATTTTATTATTATTATTATTTTTTTTTTTTTTTTTTTTTTTTTGCCCTGGGTACTCTTCCCTCAGGTACTATTTTTAGTACCTTTGAGTAATCTTCCCCTGGGTACTATTTTTGATACCCAGGGGTACTCTGCCCCTGGGTATTCTTTTTGGTACCCTTGGGTATTCTTCCCAGGGAATAAATTGGACGAGCTTTACTTAGATCGTCACTCATTTACTAAGGGAATTAAATTTTACGAGTTTTACTCAGCTCGTCCCCTTTAGTAAGGAATTTTTATTTATTATCCCTTATAGTACGGAGATATTAATTACAGGATTCATTCAGCCCGAGTCCTTATAGTACAGGATATTTATTTACTATCCCTTATAGTACGGGGATATTGATTACGAAATTCATTCAACCCAAGTCCTTTTAGTACATGACATTTCTTTACTATCCCTTATAGTACGGGAATATTGATTACAGGATTCATTCAACCCCGTCACTTTAGCAAGGGAATAAATTTTACAAGCTTCACTCAGCTCGTCCCTTTAGTAAGGGAATTATGTTTTACGAGTTTCACTCAGCTCGTCCCTTTAGTAAGGGAATTAGGTTTTACGAGCTTAACTCAGCTCGTCCCTTTAGTAAGGGAATTAATTACCACATAGGTATAACATGTGAGGGGGAGGATCATTTTTTGACCTGACCTTTGTAGGTTAAGTCCTGATCTCTGATGACTATACTTTTGTCAGTTAAGCCCTGGTCTTGGTCTCTGATAACCAGACTTGGGATGACGGGGCACTGATCTTGGATGACCGAGCCTTTGTAGACTTTGGGTAATCAATTCTTAATCTTGGTTGACTAGGACTTGGTTTTGGATAACCAAGCCTTGATTTTATGATAACCAAGGGTTGTACCCTTCCCGGTATGTAGAGACTTACCTGGTTATGGTTTCGGTGGATCGAGCATCGGTCTTGGACGACTAGTGCCCCCGAGGGGTCGCTAAAGGAAAGAGACTAAAAACCCGACTAGCTCGATGTACCAAGGTACGTCAATCTTTTAAACCTTGTCATCATATGTAGATCGACGATTGATATCGTGTGATCCACTATTCTGCCCCAGATGCTGGGATCTTGGGTGATGACCCATTCTATGGATGTTTATACAACGGACGGGGTGTCTGGTGCTGCAACAATTTACAGTTGTCTAAAAATATTAAATTGTGTTAGAAAGAATTGCTGAAAATTAACCTGCAATGGATTGTCAATCCAAAATTCTGCATAATCTGAAGTCGATCGGCAATTCCTGCAAGGGAAGAGAGGTGATGACTGTCGTCTGGTAGATGGAGGCTTAGTGTCCAGCGACTAGCTTGATGCTTAGTGGATAGGGGCGTGGTACCCAACGGCTAACAAATAACGGTCTGGTGGCCAGTACCAGATGACGGTCTAGTGGCTAGTACCTCGTTGGGTCCAATGATCGCCCTTAACTTAGGAACCTCCTTGGGAATACAAACCTCATTGGACATGGGATCTTGAAGGACATTGAACTCCTTAGACCTGAAGGCCTCGATACATTCTTGGGTGTAGAAAGCCACCCTAATTGCACGAACGGACAGAGTAATGAGACTTTGTTGCTAGAGACATCCTCAGTAGTAGAGGCTTTATTAGTAGGTAAAGACCCCCTTGTTGGTGGTGATCTTCTTGATGGGTGGAGACCTACCCATTTATGTAGGTGTAGAAAGACCAGGCCTTAGTCTTCAACGATCTGGCCTTGGTAATTGGCTGCTGCTCGATATGAGATTGAGTCTGGTCTTAGACGACCAAACCTCAGTAGTGAGGGGACCAAGCATCGCTAAATGGAAAACACCATACTGGACTGCCTGGGTTGACATGCCAAATTTTGATTATTGTTCTCGTACACTGGGTGGCATCACACAACCCACTGTTTTGCCCCTAGTATGATAGACGGGTAATCAAGATATAGAGTCCCGTCCTTATATAA